CCAAAGCCATACGGTCAGAGCGTGGCAGCAGGTGCCACCGGGCCCAGCCGGCGCTTTGGACTCAGCCGCTCCACGGGCCGAGCCGCCGGGGTACGGGTCTGAGGAGTGTGTGCGTGTGTGTGTGTGTGTGTGTGTGTGTGTGTGTGTGTGTGTGTGTGTGCGGAGTGCAACTCAGTGCTTGTCCTTGATTTTTTTTTTCAGGAGATAATTTATACTTTAGAAAGGTTTTGGCATTTTATATCAGGTGAACAGCAGTTGTGTAATTGCCTGTGTGAGTGTGTTTCAGATGAACCACTGGATAGCTTTGAATAATATTCTCAGGAATTAATCACTGAATGTACATCTGCAACTGATTCACTTTTGAAATCGTCATGATTCAAGATGGCCACTACCAAACATTTCAGCTACTACCACACCAGATTTGAGCTCACTACAGGGTTCCTGCAGATCCCTAAAAAGTCTTAAGTCATTGAATTCATCAGTCCAAAAATAAGGCCTTAATTAGCCTTAAAATGTCTTAAATCAATCTTTCAGCAGAGTTAAAAATGTTAACACATTGTAAATAGGATGATTGTAATTCACCTCAAATATTAAAATAATTGGTAACATTTATTCTTTTAAATAGTCACATGTAGACATTCCCCTTTGACATCACTTCCTGTTACTTCACATGCAAATATCTCAAATGTCCATCTGAGCAACGTGAAATTTGTTTTGTTAATAATGTTGTCGTTTCAAAAATGCATTAACTTTTCTTATAAATGTTGTCACAGGCACATTAAGGTTTCATCTACAGCAAATAAATTGGGGTTAAGACCCCATTTTGGGTCCTAAAACTCCAAACTTTGGGTCATTAAACTGACTGCTAAGAATGTTTTTGCTATGTTTGACGAAATAACAGTTAGATATGGATAAAAACACTTGGTCTATTAGCAATATTTGATTACTTCAACCAAAAATACTTTGATTCATGAGGTTCTGCTACAGTTTTATTTATTTTTTGTCATTTGTGTTTATTGTGAAATTGGTCTTAAAGACACAGTGTGTAGGATTTGTTGTTTTCAGTGACATCTAGTGGTTGAGTGGTTGAATCATCCTCCCTGGTCCTCCCCCAAACCCCACCCCTGCTTCCAAACACAAAGGAGTTGCTACAGTGTCTCTCAGGTGT